ACCTCTTATACACATCTAGATGTGTATAAGAGACAGCTGTTTATCTCAACACACACACACACACACACACAAAAAAAACCACAATCAGTTTTATGTCCATCTGTCTTTCTCCTGTTGTCTGTCCTCCCTCTGATTTTTTCGATTATTTTTTGCTTACCCAATTGAGCACCCTTCACGAGTGCCAAACAGTCGGGCATTCCCATTCGGAGTGCCTACAGCACTCTTCGGGGGGCCGCTCAGTTCGGGATGTCTGTCTGCCTTAGGGGTAATGATGGATGGTCGTCAGAGTGACTCCCTGGCTCAGTGGGTGGTGGGGACCAACAGTCTCCGGTGTTCAATCGTGATGTGAGTAGGTGATGTGCCGCTTTGCTCCGTGTTGATGTATGGACTGCTCTGTCTGCGCTCCACCGCTGCCTTGCTGTCTGTCCTGCTTGCTTCGCATGTGGTTCTGTGCAAGTTGCTGTGTTCGCTGTGTGGTGTGGCCGTGTTGTTGGTGTTGCCGTGCCACCCATCCACTGGTTGTGCCTTCCGTGTTTGTTGCTTGCATGTCTTGTAGTTTGTTTGCCTTGTTGGTGTTGCCTTGTGCTTCGCTGCACGGCTGCCCAGCTGCTTGTCCGCTCGCCCTGTCGTCCCTTGCAGTGTGGTTGCTTTGCTTGTGTTGCCTTGTGCTTCACTACGCAGTTGCTGTGCTGTTCGTCTGATTGCTGTGTCGTTCCCTGCAGTCGTCTTTGGCGTTGAGCAGCCGTGTTGCCGCTGCAGCATTGCCTGGTGCTTCACTGGGTTGCTGCCCGCTGCCGTGTTCCAATTGGGGGACAGTTTGCCTTCAACAAGGGTGAAAGGGTTCACATCCCCAACCATCCAATACGGAGATTCCGCAGATTGGTGACGGTTCAGCCTCCTGAACAGTTGGTGCAACGCCGACGAGACAATCTTATTATCATCAGTTCTTAGTTTTTCCAGTTTTTGTCTTTTGGTCTGCTGTCATTGCTTTTGCTGACTTATGTTGTGTATGTCCCTGCCCGTCTCGCCCTTGCCATCTAGCCTATGTCTATGTCTTTCGTGGGTACTATTTGTTACTTAGATCACTGCCTTTGTCTTTTGCTACTTTGTTTGTGTGCCTGCCCTCCTCCCCCTGCCCTCCAGCCTAGGTGCTTTGTTGTGATTTGTCATTCCGTGGGGGCACAGCCACAGACAAACAGGCAGGCACACAGATGGACAGAATGGTCATAGAGGCCATAGACATCATGTTGATCCTGCTGCATGGTCCTGACAGATGGACAAACAGACAAGCAGATGGACAGGATGACCATAGAGGCCATAGACATTGTTCTCAGCATTCTATCCTTCAGCATGATGAGCAAGTTGCTAAGAAGGAAGATAGTCTACCGGTAAACTGAGCATGGTCTTGTGTGGAGTTGGAGAGAGAGAAGCAGGGGGAGTGCTCTGGACCTGAACAAAGACAGTGGTATGGTGGCCATGAACAACGCTCTAGTCCTGTTGATGTTCTCAACTAACTGTTCTTTGAAAGAATGTTGTTTACCGCAGTCGATCTTCACACTCAGCAGTTCATTATTCTCAGTGGAGATTCCATAAAACAAGAAAAGGGCGATGAAATGCCTGTGTCAAATGGGAGCAAATTATAAAAAGAAAAAATCCAAAATATTTACAAAAAAAGCCAAAAATTTAATAAGGGGCATTGAGTGCTTACTGCTTAGGGAACTCTACCTTTTGGTACTTTTTGAACTATTGTGAATAGAGAGGTCAGCATTACTACCCCACGAACATCATGAGCTACAGACCCATCACTCTCCTAACAGTAGCATATAAGATCCTGGCCAAACTTCTAGCCAACTAAATAACGAGAATTGAAGTTGTTCCCACAAAGACTAGATAGGCTTCATCCCAGGCAGATTCATCTTGGATAATGTAATGTTGCTGGCAGAATCGGCAAGTTACATCAAGGGTAAGAAAATGAATGCAGCAATTTTTTTTTCGACTTTGAAAAGGCTTATAATCAGGTTATAATTGGGACTTTCTCCAACAATGCATGGGAAAGGTGGGGGTAGGACCTAACTTTAGAAAATGGGTAAGAGTGCTTTATAATGATGTACACGGGGTAGTAGAAGTAAACGGTCACATATCTGAGCCCTACAGAATGTCCAGGTCAGTAAGGCAAGGTGGCCCATTAACAATTCCAACCTTCCTATTCAAAATCGTAGCAATAGCTTCCTTCCTTAGGAAATACCTATCGTAGCCATCTATACGAAGACTCATAAATCCAACAAAAGACCCCAACAGCCCTCACCACATACCTCTCACGATCCTATTCGCAGATGATCTAATTGTACTAATCACAGCCTCTAATTCCTTCTTTGAAGCCCTTACTAGAGCAATGCATGCCACCAACCAGCATCGGAAATGCGAATTAATTGACAGAAAACAGTGGGATGGTGGTTAACAGACGGGAACATAGACGTCCCCAATGTACGCCCGAAGGAATGACATGGTCCGACCCTAAGGGCCCATTGAGGGTCCTAGGAATCCAAACGACAAAACGAGGCGTTGCGGCTAAAATGGCTCCCCAACCTCCTAGCCAAGATGACTAACAAACTAGGTTCTTGGGGGAAAGTCCACACCTCCTTCCATGGAAGAACCTTAGTATTAAACTCGTCAATCTTCGCAATGATGTAATATGTAGCAACATTCTGGGTTCCGAATCATGCAATGCGAAAAAAACTTAAAAGGAAAGCATTGGCATACCTCTGGACAGGCAACGCCTCCAGACAACATTTCATAACCAGGGTGGCATGGTGTTATGTCACCAGGGAAAAAGGCCAAAAGAGGACTAGGCGTTTTGGACCAACTGGGATCTTAAAACTTATCGCCAGACCTAGCCTGCCCACGAGAACCCTAGCCCTAGATGGACTACAACAACTAGCAATATACAACACTCCACGTAACAACTTTTGTACTTGAACGAACTTCTGAAGCTCTAAGTTTTGTTATCCGTGCTTTTTCGATCTCGAACGGGCTTAGGGGGGGTTACCCTTTTGTTTAGTTGGTGGTATGCACAGAATCAACGGCCGACGAGGCCCTCCTACTTTGTAAAACTTGTTGTGTTTCTTTCTGAGGACTTTTTCGCAATTTCTTTCTGGCGATCCACGAAGTTACGTAGGACTTACGCGCGCCTTAGTACGCGCGCTACAATTTTTTATGGGCAGTTGGGAATTTCGAATTTGTGGACGCGCCTCCCGCTGACGTGTCCTTTCTTGCAAATGAATGTTCCTAAATTCGCCCTTGCAGGCTCTATGAATTTTCAGTGGGATCTGAATAAACGTAGGATTTTTTCCCACGCCCTGTCTCGCGTGTGGATACCATTTTTTAATTTCTCGATCTTGAATTCGCTTTAGAACTAGGATGAGAGGAACATAATTGTTTTTTGGTGCCTTTTTGTTTCTGTGTCGGCGCCATCTATGCAAAATTCCCTCACCTCCTACCATCCCCACGCCATCTTCGCTTCTTTCTTCTTCGCGTCTTTTTTCCTTCATCTGTAACTATTTTTTCATCCCCTCTCCCTACGCGTTTCTCTCCCGCTCCTTTTCTTCTGAATCTTGGTATAGTTCCACACTACTCTTCGCGCTCTCCTTCTTCCCACCAGTTCCACACTACTCTTCGCGCTCTCCTTCTTCCCACCTTTAGGAACTCCCTGCCAATCCCCCCCTCTTCCCTCATGGTACTCAAGCCATTAGGCGACATCGTCTAAGGAGGATACTCCCCCTCACGTTGCAATCTGATTGACTGTGAAGGAACTCGCGGGGATCAATATGGCTTTCCCCGGGCGCTTTACCCAAACTCTCCATTTGCCCCCTCCTACCTCCACCCCGTTCCTTCCCATTTTCTATCCTCCTCTTCGCAACTATAAAATCTGCAAGCGCATCCAAAAAACTCTCTATCAACCCATCTGCCAACTTTCGGGAAGTCGTGGCTAGATGATGTGCATGTACGGCGAGTCGAAAAGTCCTGATGAGCCGACTGTTGTTTTGCAAGGTTGTGCGATGTGTGGCCGCAACGGACTGCGGGATCTGGGCAAGTCGGTGTAGAAGATGAGTTGGCAGGATGTCGATTGTTGTGAGGTGAGGTTGGTATGTGGCAGTCGGGATCGCCAGTACCAAGGTAAGGAAGGTGTGTGTGTACGAGTGGTTGTATGGCCCGAGCCATAGTTAGAGAGCAGAAGGCTTGCGCGCCTTCGATCTTCGGTTCCTCATCTTCTTATATTGGAGGCTAAGTTAACGGCGGATTTCTGGTTTTTGTTCTCATTTCTATTTATGCGCTCAGAACTCCTCCGCTGTCTTAGTCCCCTTCTTCGGCCAAGCTACGGCTCTGTCTACCTCTTCAACCTCATTTTCCTTCTCTCGCTCTCTCCTTTGATATTTTCTTCATGAATGTTTTGATAACTTCCTCGTCCCTATCAGCTCCCAAGGTCCTGTCCTGCTCGTCTCGTTGGATTCAATCGGGTCTCGCGAGGACGAGTGTTGTTGAATCTAAAGAGACCAGTGGAAACAGACGATCTTATTTTGTCCCTTTTTCTTCTCCTTGGTATTCAATGGTTAATACATGAGTGATCTCTCACACACATGTATCGATTGAGTTGTCACCCCGATGGCGGGAACGAAGTAGAAATCTGGCGTGCTCACTTCGATGCATGCTTAGATATTTGCACGAATGAAGAATGATTGTTCTTTGAACTGATTGGATTGCATGGACTTACGCCTTGGATTGGTTTGCACGATGGGTGGAAGATAATGCATATCGTGGTGTCTATTTGTTCTTTGGAT